ATATTTTAACAAAACCTACTGGATGGAACTCAAACACCCAACAAAAAAGAATTTTGAACAAAAAAGTAAAGAGAACTCACAGGGACTGCTCTCAATCTTCGATCGGCAGTTCCTCTTTCGACAGATCTAAATAAAGAATTTTTTAGTTTCAAAGATACCTCAGAGCCTCACCTAACAAGACAATTTACCTTTGCTCCCCATCAGTATCCTCATCATTATCAAATGCTACCGCAATAGCACAGATCTTGTGTTCTAATTCAGTAAACTTATTTCTTCGTCTCGGAGTTTTCCTTACATTTCTACCAGTTCTAAAACGAGAGCAGGCAGTTAAAAAACAGTTTAAAGGTAACAAACCGTCCCATTAAAAGTGGAATTTCCAAAGATAGCGAAGCTCAAACAAACAACAACTTTTCTTTTATCAAATTCCTAAAAGTTTGCTTTCGATTTTCTATTAATTTCATCATGCACTCCAGCCCTCGGAATCCCTCTTGCAGATAAAGATCGAACATGAAATTTGACTGCTTTTCTATTTCATAACTGCAAATAAATAATTACAATTCAAAAGTACCAAAGGAGAGTCAAATAACCAAAATAAATGTAACTAACATAAAACTTGAGGGCGAATTTGATGCCATAGTTGGTACTTATAGTTATAAAAAAAGCTGAAGAACTAAAAGAAGCTTAATCTGTTTGATCTTCCAGGTCGTAAGCTCCAATACCGACCTAAAATTACTTCCGATAAGAATAATCTAAACCACAAAATACAAAATATAAATTGAACAAAGTGTCAAAAAAGTTAAATATGACCATAAATGCCATCGTTGCAGTTTAGCGTACCCACCCACAAAATTTGACTTTTTCTTTTTTCAAACATACTTCAGCTACCATATATGGCTTCGTCTATTTTCATTTATCCACCACTCACCAATTTCTTTTTGTACTCTTCTCTCACTTCCCAAAAATCACATACTAACTTGTAATTGTCTACTTGATGCAATTAACAATGACAATGCTGTGAAATGGTGTAACGGATAACTGTTACAGCTTAGTATCTGCTGTAACTGAAACCATATAGTTCAGTGCCGCACGGTTCTCATTTTGCTCTCCAGTCAATGCAGCAGCTTTGCCAACCGCTTTCATAACACACGACGTCTGGGAAAAAGTTCGGAACTAATTATGAAATTTATACTCAGTGTGGTTTTCATGAGCACTGAATAAAAGCGTAAGTCGGGAAAATATAACTTGTATACTCCAGAAATTTTTCTCTGACGTTTCCCTTTCCAGCTCACAAGTTAAGTCAATAGGTTTTATGTAGAGAGCTGAAGTAGTGTGATGACGTAGGAATTTCTGCACTGACTGCAGCATGGCGAAATAGCATCAAAATTGTAAGAAAGATTTTTTTATGAAAATGAATTTGAACCTTTCAAATTTTTTTGAATTGCTATTGCACAACAAGTTGCCAGGATGCAAAAGTTATGAAACTGTAGCAGTTAATATGTTGTAATAGATGTGAGAAAAATGAGAGAGAACTATAGAGCCAAACCTGAGACCGCACTGATACAATTTCAGGTATCTCTGTTTAGCTGAATAGAGCAAATCAAGCTCTACAGAACAAAAACTACTGGATGAATAAAACCAAGCTTCTGGGTGGCAACGCTAAATCGTAACACTGTTTTACAAGTTACCACAAATATTATAAACAGATCTGGTTCTAACAATAAGGATGAAAAAGATGAGGTAAAGCTAGCAAAATACAAAATACAAAATAAAAAAAGGATAAGAAT